AAAAAATCCACGCGTTAAGAGAATAGAAATTCACCGAGTAGTGAAATCATAGATATTTTTAGTTTAGCCTTTGTTTTACAGACATACTTGTTTCTGGATACGGGAATATTGGGAGAAATTGGTTATAATGAAAAAAGAGGTAGAATCAATTAAAGAAATAAAAGAAGCTTTTTTTGATATCAGAGTTTTACGCACATTATGCCGTGTCGTGCAGGATATCCTTCACAATTCCTTATGAGGCAGAGACGAGGCGGTCTATGGGCGCCAGTCTGCCTCGGTCTCCCCCTAATTGCATTTAACTTGATGCGAAATGATTTAAAAATCAATCACTTCAAATGCCACCTTAAGAATAATGGATTCTTTGTCTCGTTAAAGGATCAAACTTAATCCAAAAATTAATTTTTGATGCACCATATTTTAGTCAAGATAAGATTGTGATTACAGCGGGTGAACCGCGTGGTGAAAGGGAAGACGGAGGGCCAGAGTGCAAAATACTTTGGATAAACATAGCGGAAACCACTGTGCTTTTACAAATTATTCTAATTTCAAAACATATAGAAACCATAGATATAAATGGTGGTGACTAATCAACAGACAACTGTTTATTGCTTTTGGTGTACTTTTTTTCGAAATGTTTTAATAGCTTTTTTTCTGCCTTTTGCTTCAGTTCCGCCAAAAGCAGCCCCATTTCTCTGGAATCCATTTATGCAACGCAGTCTTCACAAACGGAAAGGTGGACAAGTACGGTTTTCAAACGACCAAACGGTGGAATTGGAAAAGAAGTTTGAAAGTCAAAAATATCTGTCGCCTCCCGAGAGGAAAAGATTAGCCAAAGTTTTACAACTGACTGAAAGACAGGTAAGAAAAGTAATACAATACAAACAGGTGTATCGTAAACATTAAGTTCAGTTCAAGTGTCACCTTGAAAGCACGATACCATAAAAGCATATAGAATTTCTCCCATTGCAAATCCGCGATATTGACGAATAATCACGTTATAAAATTAAGATACTGTACTGATGAATTAAGGCACGGTTTTCGCGATCCATTTTTGTGTTGCGGATTTAATAAAGAAGTGAATTCACTATATTCTGTGGGCATCAAGTTTGGTCGAAATGAAGGTTAGGAAAGCAACCCGACAACACAGGGGGCTCAACGACGACCAGATTATGCGGCCAGATTTAATGTCGAACTTATCTTACCTATCCTAAATTTGATCTTCAGTCTCTCTGTTTACTCAGAAAATTGATTGAAATGTAATCGTCAGCGTGATAGAGCCCTACACAGGGAACTTTTGTAGATGGAATTTATTTAGGGGGCGATGCTTGACAGTTCTTCGCCAGAAAAGAACAACATTGAAGAAAATTAACTTCTCTATTGCTTCCGATTAGGCCCACCTCTATTATTTTGATCACGTCTAATAAGTCTCAATTGAAATAAATGTTGACCAATTCGGACGTTATAGCCGTGGAACTTACTTGAAACCCCACGTAGTGGATAAGAAGGGGCATCGCTGACAAGGAGGAGTAATTTATTACTATGCCATTGCTTTTGTTCAATGAATTTTTAATTCTTAGCGACATAAATGTTTGTTATTTAGATAGTTTAGCAGTTCTAGTGACCATGTACTTCTTTTGAAAGAGAAAAGTGTAATAAGTCTACGTTTCTCGGTTGCCGTATGAAGAACTTAATGGTCTGGCAATCACTTGTCGCAATGACTTTAGTTAATTTTTTCTTTCGAAGAGATCTGTTATATGTACATCGAAATCCTTTTCAGGTCAAAACCTGGTTTCAAAACAGAAGAGCGAAGTGGCGCCGGCTAAAACAGGTAAAGCCGAATGCTACTCCCCCAATCAAATGTTAAAACAAATAACACTTATCTTGAACTGAAGTTGTAGAAAAAAATTAACGTCCACACTATGATACAGTATCTCTGACAAGTGTCAATCAATAAATATAGCAGCAAGTTAAAGAGAAGTAGTTTAAATGCATAAAGGCTACATTTTGGTCGTGGATTTAAAAAAAAAGACTTTCGCAGGCGTATAGTGTTTTAAAAAGTCCCCTCCAAGTCAAATACCGTTTACCTTCTGTGTATGGTCATACGAGCTCAGTAAAAGAATCCGGTGTTGTTTGGAAAACAGTGATAGACGTAATGGTTGAAACGGATATTAACATATTCTTTTTCAATAAAGAACATCTAAAATATTTTGATTTTAAAATAGATATTTCACTTAAATCTCTTCTGTAGGACTCCAGTGACAAGTCCGACGACACGCAGCACGATTCAGGAATAATCGCAGACTCTCACACGTCATCGAGCGATCATCCGGGAAGCGACATCTCAGATTCAGAAAACGAAGATGACGAATCGACCGAAGAGTGCGGCGAAGTCAAAGTTGATATTTGTGACGAGAACCCATCGAAAACTTAAACTCTGGGGAATGGAGCGCCGTTCTATCGGTGACCTCCTGGGGCTCATTTCAGATCTGAACTTCCGTTAATAATCATCTGCACTTTATAACGTGTGGACGGCCTGTACCGTTGTAAACATTGCGCTTGGCATATCACACCAGGCGAACAAGCAAAATTTTATGTATGGGAGCATTAAAAACAGCTATGAGAAAAAAAACACAGTATTTTATTTTTAGCAAATACTAAAATTATTTTGTGTGGTATGGTTAAAGTGATAATAACTCTTCGTTTCGGCCAAAAAATGAATTTTCCTGGAGTAAACAACAATTTTCCCATACTTACCAATGGTTAATGAATCCATTTTTACATTCAAAGTTAGTCCCTGGTTTTTTTCTAAAAAGTTTGGTTTTTTGTTAAAATCTCTTAAGAGATTTTAACATAGTATGGCCATCAATGGAGGTCACGTGGTCAAAAGACAAGCTCAGATATCAGAATAATAGCTATAACAGCCGTTTTTGTGGGAAAACAGAATATATTATATTTTTATGAGTCACTCACAATGTTTTTATTGTGAAATACAGATTTCATACGAAGAGTTATTATCCCTTTAAGCGAAAAGGGATGAAGGCCACAAGAGCTTTCCTGAGTGTGCAGCCCTTGCGCATCTTCATGCATTCACCGACTTGACCAAAACAAATTGTTGACTATGCAACACATGCAGGCAAATATTCTATTTATTGGCAATACTTTGCATAATGTTTTTTTAATACATACTGCATATATCCATATACGTTTATTACAAACGCTGACGACATACTGACTTGCTTAACATATACCCGTCTATCATTTAAAATCACATACTAGTACATGTACGTAGGAATACCGTAACGTAATCATGTATAACGAGCGTCAAAAACGGGTGGACCACCGTATGCGCGCGCGTTCTTTGTACTTATAAACAACAAAAGTTGACTTTATATGTACTTGTATATATTTATATATTTATGTAATAAAGTAAACATATATATTCAGTACAATCTTGTGATAATTGCATTTACATGGGGTATGAGTGGGGAGAAAGTTTTATCCCTTGAAACATATTTCAAAGATAATCATTTAATTGATGAATATGAATAAGGAACAATAACGCTTTGAGTCGCAAAGAAATTATAAATTAAAAGTTTTATCAGATATTTTTGATAAAAATATTTTGAAAGTGTTTTGTCATACTTCCTCTTTGATACCACAAGAGCTGTTAGATTGAAGCAATTTGAAGTGGTGCCTAATTACAAATATCTTTTAGTAATAACGAATCTTGACTTTTTTCTTTATCGGAAATGACTTTGAAATTAAACTGCTACATCATCGTAAATATGCCAGACAAACACTGTTGTTCCTCACACTATAGTTCAACAAGGCACTTTATTGAATAATTTAGATATATTTTAGTGCGTATAGTCTTTGACTCAACAAGTTGCAACTTGTATTCAAACGTGGGAGACATCGACTAAAACCGCGATAAATGTGACGCCGGTGCTACCGTTAGCACATAGCACACACACACACACACACACAAAAAGCATATAAACTCGATTAAGCGAGGATCATTCAGTTTTATTGTTTTTGACCCGAGTTTATTACTTTGATAAAATTTTCGTAATTTATGCTTTATTTCTTTAGGCTTCTATTTATATCACTACCCCTGTTATATGACTGTTGTAAATTGTTTGTTGAAAGTACTGATGATTATGATAATTAATTCGCATGTTTTCCAATAGGCCTGCTAGTAAAATGAGCAAGGATTCGGTGTTTTTAGAGAGAAAAAAGCAAGTGGTTCTTATAGTCTGTTTTATATAACATGATCTTTTTTATCAAGTTTCATTTAAATTTTGTCATTGCTGTAAAGGAAATAGAAAATATTTATAAACAGAAATCTTGCTCACAATTATTGGTTATGCACATTTGATAATGTAAAAAAAAAAAAAAAAAAAAAAAAAAAAAAACGATGATTTAAGACTTCACTTTGAGCACTTGTCCTTAATCTAGGGCCTGGCATCGTTTGAGAAAGAATTTGTCATTTTGTAACTTAGACCTACAAAATATTTATTTTTTCAGTGGGCCCATTAAAATATTTAGGAATTCAATAAATGGCACTGACCACTTTTAACCGTGGGTTTTACCAGTTTTTTTTTAAACAAAAAACATTGGCGCGAATTAATATGTATAAAAATAAAACGAGATTCATGTTTAAGAGCAGTCATTTAACATTGGAATATAATATTAAAAACCTGAAACTTCATAAATAAAAAAAGGTTTGAAATTTGAGGTCATGGTCGCAGTTTCTTAAATATTCATATCAAGCGTGTATCTATGTAAAATCATCAATCAAATGCCACGATACACATGTATAGTGTATAGAGTACTTTAATTGAATACTACAGAATTCCGTTACAATATTCCACGAAAAAAAATTGAAATCTACACAGATATTTTCTGCTTACATTCTGTGGTTTACGGATTGGAGGGGAAATAAGAAGGTCAAATTTGCGTTCAGTAATTCTTGGAAAATGCAGTTTTTAAGCCCTTTTCAGTTGCATGGGAGATTATTTATAATCATATTTTTGGGGGGGGGAGGGGGGCATGGGGATTTTATTTCTGTCGTGTAAAAAAATATAAATAATTCAAACACGTAACAGGGAGTTTGCTCTAGCTTCATATGTATCTATTTGGAGAGAGATCGCAACAAATTATCCCATTACTTCATAAGAGAATGTGGAAGCGCGTTGGAAGACGTAGGCCTACATGTTTCGAAAAAATGAATAAGTTTAAAGCGTCGAAAGTGTCATCAAAATCCGTTTTTGGGTATTTCGCACCAATAATCCGTGCCCTATGCCTTTAAAACACGATTACTTACGCGCTGTTGACAAGAATCAAATAACTTGAAATTTTTGACCACCAGTCGCAGTCTATCTGGTGCCAAATTTCAGCAAAATTAATTTTGTGATTTTTTTCCCAGTATCACTCCCATGCCGTATTAAGGATATAGTAGGTCTTATTTTGATTATTAGCCGTTTTATAGGACCCCTGGGTCTCAACTATGGTGCCAGGTATTCCGCAATGCAGAGATAAGGGCACTGTATATCTTTTCAATTAGTTGAAATTGTTGACAGTTGTAATGAACCACTAGTTCGGGCGAGATTGTCACTATGGCTGCAAGTGAAGGTGGAACCTGAAACGAGAGGCCTCTTCGGGGGAAATGCGACAAACTTTATTGAGGCACTTCCGACAAATTTTATTATCTAGGGCTTAGAATTGTGCTCATTGTATGTTTTTTTTTTTAGGAAAATCTACTTGAAAAAAATGTTTTTAAAGATATAAGGCGTATCATGTTTGGCAAGCGCGTTCCTGAAAATAGGGGAAACCATTTTGATGAATAATGATAAAAAATAAGAATGCGTTTTGCAGTAATAGTTAGTGTGTTTCACGCGTACAAAGGCAAGCATTCCAGCTGAACTTGGTCTGCTCTTGAACAATATCTGACAATGCTACCTTCACAAGTTTTTAAACACGAAATGGGTCTTAGACTCGATATGAAGAACACTTTTAAAGTTTTACAGGTAAAATATTTACACAATATTGAGAGTAGTGTTGTTACGAATAGGAGAATTCAAACCAGTCTCTCGTAACTCTTACACAAGAAATCCTCCCCTAATATTGGCCCCGGGATGAATCTCATTCAAATACTACTTCAAGCTAAACCATCAAATTGCGATTAACAATAATCCCCACAATTCTGAGCATTATCTGAACATTGCTTCTTCAATGCGACCTTATTGAGCAAGTAAACAAGGATTATCATAAATTAAGTTTCGCCCCCTACACCTCTGACTAATGATCAACTAGTATCGGCTCATGTCTTTTGCGATTTGAATAGACGAATTGGCTAGCCATCAGGCATAAGGCAAAACGCCCCATCAGTGCACAATTGCGATAGAGACGAATTACTTCTTTTATGCTTCATGCTTCAGAATAAATATTTAGGGCCGTATACTCCGTGGGGTGGGGTGGGGGTAAGGTGTCACCCTGGACATTTCTGAAAAAAATATTTCAAGAGCTGTGTTAGTTTTTTTTCTTTTTCCTTGACCACCAGCAGTCATCTTTCCACCTGTCAGTAGAAGGTCTATTACAATGGACACGCATTGCAGAGTTATCTGAACGCAGCAAAACTAGGAGTAGATTGGCATTTATCCGTATAGGTTTTGGTAAAGGTTGACTGTGATCTGGCCGAATGCATTTTAACTCCTTGTCGTCATTGTAAAAGCTGACAGTAGAGAGCTAGAAATAATAAAGCAACTAGAAAAGCACTCAGAGAGCGCAGACCTCCGCCAAGGCAGCAAAGTCTCCATCCAATGCCGTTTCGCCCCTAAATTTTCGATATTTTTGATTATTGATTATTGATTGATTATTGATCCAGATCTCCATTAAAAACTAATCATCTCTTCCTTGGTCCACTTCTGACAGTTCCTTAAAATTTCATCAAAATCGGTCCATAACTTTTTGAGTTATGTTGATGAGAGACAGACAGACAAACAAACAAACAAACAAACAAACAGAGGTGAAAACATAACCTCCTTGGCGGAGGTAAAAATGCAAAGCAAACTAGAAAAGCACTCAGAGAGCGCAGAGCTCCGCCGAATGCATTTTAGCTCCTTGTCGTCATTGTAAAAGCTGTCATTATAATTTTCATAATAGAGTGTAGGCTGACAGTAGAGAGCAAGAAATAATAAAGAAACTAGAAAAGCACTCAGAGAGCGCAGACCTCCGCCAAGGCAGCAAAGTCTTCATCCAATGCCGTTTCACCCATAAATTTTCGACATTTTTGATTATTGATTGATTATTGATCCAGATCACCACTAAAACTAATCATCTGTTCCTTGGCCCACTTCTGACAGTTCCTGAAAATTTCATCAAAATCGGTTCATAACTTTTGAGTTATATTGATGACAGACAGACAAACAAACAAACATGGGTGAAAACATACATGTAACCTCCTTGGCGGAGGTAAAAAGAGAATAAAGGTTTGCGTGTTTGTCCAGTTACTAATCCTGGATTCGCCCTTGCAATACTAAGAAAAATACTTGTATTCCCTCAATTCATACCTCAAAAGTAATATAGGCCCTAATCCCTTAAATAAAAGTATAGGCCTACCCGATGTTCATATTTTTCTGAAATGTAGGCCTACAGGAAGGCCTGGCGGTCTAAAC